GTGGAGGTGACTGTGGAGGCTCCAGAAGCAGCAGCACCTGCAGGGCCGCTCTGAGCCACCGGCGCCTGTCCCCACCGAGACCCGAGCGTCTGTTCACAGCGGGTCTGGGCGCAGAGCAGCCGCCTGCCACAAAACCCGTGTCACTGTGTCTTGGGCTTGCTTCCAGCAGCGGGACCTGGTGGTTTGTAGCTTGTAAGGTTTTTTGCTTTTAGTTTTTTATAGGTGTGATGGTTCCACTGGGCCTGACCGCCAACCCAGCCGTTCACCCACTTGCCCCCCACCCCCAGGGGATAGGGGAGACGATTGGGGCAAGGGTTAAGGGGACTTGGAGGTTGAGGCGAGAACAATTTAATAATAGAAATAAAACTTAAAATAATACTGATATTACAACAGTAGTGATAATGATAACAGTAACAAAATGTGCAGATGAGCGACACCCAGAGCCATTGCTCACCACCCGCCGACCAAGCCCGGCCCGTTCCCAGATAACGATCCCGGAGCAGGAACAATCCCGAACCGAAACCGCAATCCCGGGAGAGCCAGAGCCCGAGCGAAAGCTGGAGAGAGATTGAAGTTCTTGTTGTGTCTTGAGATGCAACTGGACAGAGAAGTTCGAAATTTGAGATAAAACACTCTATTAAAACAGTACTCATTAATCTGAGGCTTGGAGCATGCGTTATCAGAGATTGCAGGGTTAAATAAATTGAAAGAAGGAATGACTCAGATTGACTGAAATGAGTTGAATATAAAATCTCCCAAAACAGATGTTGTCATGTAAAGTGTTAGGATACTGGTCAGACTCCAGCACATTAAACCCCTCTTCATATATAGTTGTTTTTTTGTTTTTTTTCTATCAAATTTCAATACAGCAGTTTTCTGAAAAACTACAGCATTTACTAGATCCTGAATTTTTGGAGCTGACATGATTCTGGAGGCTATCATGAACAGTGTTGTTTGGGCAGAGGCAGACTCTTCTATTTGAAAGGGGAAAGATGATAAAAATGAGAAGCCTGTTTCTCATGTAGTCTTTCACTTCTTGTGTTGGTTGCTTGGATTTTTTTAATTTATTGAAGCCTGTCAGGTCATACTGCTTCCAGTTCATGACCAAACACCAGGGTGATGCTGAGGAGCAGCGTGGAGCTCACTAACCTTTGTCCTTGTGACATTAAACAGGGGGAATGTGCTGTGTGTTTCACATGTGACAGCATTTATGGGCTGAGCTTTGAAAACATTTTAACAACAAAGTGATTCAATACAAATTAAAATTGACTCATTTGGGGATTACATTGACAAAATTAATGGTTGAAGTTTTTTTCCATCCTCATAGTTCTTAAAATAAGTTTATTTCTCCCTAATGTCTCTGTTTTACAGGTAATACCTTCTGATTTGTTTTTGATATGTGGTAAAGTTGAGTCCTGGGGATTTCATCAGATAAAGCTGTTTCTGAACATTTTCCACAATTCTTAATTTTCACAGTTTTTAGAGTCTAGTATTTGAAAGGCACATTACTGAATTTTTGTTTCAATTGCATGATTCATGCTTTCCAAAAAATTAAAGAAAGGTTTGCCTCTTATTTTAGGAAGAAGTTTTCCCTTATCCAGAAATTAGCAATGAAGAACTAGAGGAGATCAACCAGTTTGTAGGACCTGTAGAAAAATTCTTCAGTGAAGAAGGTATTAGTTTGTTATTCATGCCAGTGATTTAGTGATTACAAAATGATTTAACTATAACAGTTGAATAAGATTATTATACTTAAAATATTTCAGTTATTTTATACATTTATTGCTGGTCATATAGTGCTGCTGGTTCTATAAACATATTCATTTATGATTTTTTTATGTGGAATATTTGGATGCTGATGAGAAGACAAGTCTTCAAAACAGAAAAAGATAAATAGGAAAAATAAAAAAGAAGTAAAAGAATTAGAGGTAGGATTTGAAATTGTTTGTAGCTCAGTTGAATTGTGTTATTTACCACTTCATATATTGTGAATTTTTTTCTGAAACTTTTTAACTGCCCTGAAACTGATCATAGCAAAATTCAGCAGAGATATTAATAAATGGTGACTCATTGAGAAGCTGTGAAAAATGAAAAGCATTTCTGTTTTTTCAGCTTTAGTGATTCTGTTTTGGGAAGTCATGTTAGCCATGTGTATTCCAGACAGGGCTGGAGGGTGTTTCTGCTGTTACTGGTGCAATAGTTAAGCCAGTTCTGCAACAGTGGCAGAAAATTGGTTTTTCCAGCCCACAGTTTCTGAGACAGTTAAACAGCATCGTCTCAGATCCCCGCTGACAGAGACTAGGTCGAGACTGCCAATCCCTGCGGGAGTTTGGAGGAGCCTGTGATTATCACAGATCACAATTTATGAGATCCAGATAATTTTAACTATAAAATTGTAGTGTTGCTCACTGACAGTCTATTAAGAATTTATGCAGATTAATTTTTTTAATTCTTTGCTCTGTTTGGAAATGTGATTTATGTGTAAAAAACCCCCTGATATTTAGAGGAATAAAAGGGTCAAATTATAGAGTCTTCACTGAAGGTGGAACTCGCTCCACCTTCGGGTTGGAATTCACAGCTATTTCTGTTTAGTTACTCAGGGTAACTCACGGGTCTGGTATAAATAGGTTAGGAGAGAAGCCTTAAATGATTTGAAACTCGATATGATTGGCACTGGGCAAGGAAAATTCATCTCAGCAGAGTCATTATGAAGCTTGACAATGTCCAGACAGCACGGATAGGTCAGTATGGGCACAATGGAGGAAGAGGTAACAAACCACCCAGCACAGCTGACAGCAGACCTCAAATATGTGTCTGATACCATGTGGCTACAAAATTAGTGTAGGGGACAACAAAATGATTTTTCTATCTGAATAACTTCTGTTAGAAGAGCATCAGAATGCTTTGTTGCCTCCCCCTGTTATATTGCATATAGAAGTTTCAGTATCATCGAAGTTTCTTTAGGGAAGTGCTGTTGCTTTTGCAGAGTTACTTCTTTTTGTGTACTTTTTGGAAAGAGGGCTTGTGTTCCTTTTGCTGCAGCTTACAGCCTTCCTGAGCTGCTTAGTGAGGTTCTTGTTTATTTTCACTGTCACAGTAGAGAACAGCTCTTGTAATCCCCTAAGAATTTCAGTAACTTACAAGAACAAGATTTTTGTAGTTGACTCATTTATGTACTTTTTTTGTTTCCTTATTATGGCCTAGACATAATTCAGATAGAAAATCCTGCAAATACTTTGCTTATTCCAGTCATGGAATCTGCTAACATGCACAAGCACAATCTGTACACATAGCAATGTTCAAGAACATGAAATAAACACAGATTTTTCCCACTTCCAAGTCCTTTTCCTGTGTATGTTGTGACTTTACAGCCATTATCAGTATTCTTGGGACCTTCCAGCTGGGTCTGTATTTTGACTTTGATGGTGTAATGAAGTGGAGCACTGCTCTCCAGAAACAGAACTGAGACCTCCCTCTGTCATGTTCAGGACTTGTCTGTGTGATGGGCATCAGCAGGCTGTTGACTTTGCAGGGTGAAGGAGGGGTTGGGGGGCAGGGGGCAGCAGACAGCCCCCAACTCCCCAGGGCACTGGCGGTCTGGCAGAAGCCAGCGTGGGGGTTGAGACGTTTCCAGCCATGAGGGGAGGAGGAGTCAGTGAGAGCAGGCTGAAGCTGGAAGGAGTAATTCTTGTGAAGCTGGGGATGAGAAGTGTGTCTGTGTGCCTGATGGTTGGGTTAGAGCTCCTTGGCTCTGATTTGAGAACGCTGCAGTCTCAGAGATTTTTCCTGCACTAAGAAACAAAGTTTTGAATTCTAAACTGTTCTGTATTTGTAGTGGACTCTAAGAAGATTGATCAAGATGCAAAAATCCCACCTGAGACTTTAAAAGGCCTGAAGGATCTGGGTCTCTTTGGCATGCAGATTCCAGAGGAATATGGTAAGTGATGACAGAAGGGTAACCCCATAGTCTGTCTTCAGTAATTCAGGTTTGGGTCTTGCCAAACGTGTCTGTCCTGTCCCCTCTGTGGGCCTTTGACTTCGATGGCTAGATTAGGAGCTGAGGCTTCCTCCCCAGCTCATGAAGAGATGCAGGGCACCGAGAGTGTCTGTTGGCTGTGGGGGCAGCTCTGCATATCTCACCTTGGGCACTTAAGGTAGATAACTAATGCAGGAGGTGTAAATTCCTCTTGGCCTAGCATTTCCCTTTCTGTTCATTTTTTTGGATGCAGCAGAGCAGTTTGACATTCTGTGGGACTTGCAGTTCTTGCTGATGGTTCCTAAAATGGTACTGGATCCAAAGGACAGTGTCTCCTGGAACTGACCTGTCACTGGCAGATAGGAATGGCTTTGACCTTACAACAGTGTAGAAGTGCAGTGTCTGTTGGTTAAAAGTATAGTTTTTGTATGAAATCGTTCTTACTGAACACTGAATGAAAAGTTGCTGTCTTAAAGGACGTTACAATGACAATTGAGATAAGATACTTTAGTTCCTCAGTGGATTAACCTTTAAACTGGCAAAGAAAATTTGAATAAAATTGTAATCTTATGCATAAAATAAAACTTTGGCTTGAAACTAACATTTTACATGAAATTTATAAAGAAGGTAGATCATTGCATTGTCTGTTGTCTGTTAGAAGGAGACTTCAAAGAGAACACCCCACGAAGACAAAACTCTGCTTGACCACTTGCCAAAAATAGTTTCAGTGAGGAAGGTTTTTGAAGAGAACAGTGTGAAACAGTACTTTTTCCCTGGTGATTACAGTAATACTGTGTAAAGCTGGAGACATACCTCAGTATTTAATTGGTGTTAAAATAATTCCCTCTTTTTCAAGGAACTTTTTTGTTACACATTTTTTGTTTATTGTATTAGGCAACATAAGTAGCGTGGCTGTGCTGCACTGATTTCAGATCTTTAAATGAAGTGTTTCTGTGCAGATTCATTGAAGTGTATTGGACAGCTTGCACCTACATGATGTGATCTCTGTTGATTAATTAATTCTTAATTAATGATTTTGAAATAGATTAGAAATTGCATTAAATATTTTCATAGGTATTCAGAACTGGGCAGGGTGATGTGAGAGTGTGATAGAAAAGAGGTTTGCAAGCTCTTTCGAAAAAGTTTTTCTCTTCAGGAAAGTGTCTGGGGAGGAGAAAGATCTGGACAGAGCACCTCAGCCCAGGGGGAGAGAAATATTTAGGAGTTAAGAAATAAATTGGAAGGAGACAGGAGGTTTGTGTCCACTGAAAGGAGGTGTTGGAAGCAGAGAATAACAGACAGCTCAGAGCAGAGCACTAGGGAGCATCACGACGTTGGAAGCCTAACTTACTATTGATCAACTAGGAATAAGTTTCCTGCTTTGTTAGTTTTTTAAAGAGTCTGCAAGGCAGTGTATTTAATGTAGAAATCATGCTTGAAGTTAATGAAATATTGTTGTTTTGATCCTGTTGTTTTGAAGCTTGTGAAATAGTACTCTCAGCTTCCAGTTTGTAAAAGGTTGCAATCCCCTCGGCATACTTGTAGAAAATCATTGTCCTGTTGTCTTGTCAACATGTATGCAGGACAAAAACCAGGAGATGAGGAGCAGTCACCTTGCTATAAGCTACTTCTTTCTGCGTTGTAAATAACATGCTTCTAACGAGGTTATTTCCTATTTTCTGCAGTTTAAACCTGCTGTATTTTCGTTGGTGGTGCTTCTTAAAACCCTTCAGTCACACATGTTCAGCGCTTCCTTCATTGCACGGTGTTTTTCATAACGATTTGTAATAGTGGCACATTTGCCAGACACATTAAAATGCAGAGCACTGATGGGACAGATGAAGCTCGTGTAAATCATAGAATAACGGCGCTCTTTAACGTGGGCATTGCTGGAATTACCGGGCACAGCCACGGACTCTGAGCTGAATCCTGAACCCAGCACCTCTTAGAAAGGGGAAGAGAAGTAAGAGTCTGTATAGGTAGGAGGAGTGAGAGTTTTAATTAATGTAAGCATTAATTAAATGCTCCTCCTCTGAAGGAGGAGGGTGTAAGAGGCAGTGATGTGAATTAATGGTGTCAGGCAGACTTGTTCTTGCATTATTCAATGTACATAACATAGCAGGGCTGCTGGGACATCTGCTGAAGTAAGGTGTCCGTTATCCTGACGTGCACCTTTGTCCCAAGCAGAGAAATACGAGCCTGGACAAAAGATTATCTTGACTAGATAAAGTTGTTTATTCAGCAGTGATATGTAAAATCATCTTAAATGAACAGGGGAACAGGACTTGTAGTCCTGACAACGTAAAATTCTTGAACATAGACTCATATAGATGCAGCTTTGATGTATCCTACTTCTTTCCAGGCTCCTTACAAATAGTCTCTCTGTTTGCAGCAGCAGATCATAAAATTCCTCCAAAAAGGATGCACTAGTGTCAAGTTTGTTTCTTGATATATTAACTTTTTTTTTAATTAAAGACATTTTTGAAGTGTTGGATTTTATCCTCCTTTAGTACCAGTTTGGAAGAAGGATTGTGAACTATTTTGTGGCAGTTGTGATGTCTGGGTCATTCTCTGCCCGGTTTCAGTGAAGCTGGGGCCAGCCTGGCTGTCCCTGTGTGCCAGTGCCAGCTCAGCCCATCCTGAGACGTGTCCAGCCCTGCTGCCTCTGCTGCCTGCTCTGCTCAGGTCAGCTGTAAAGCTGTAGGTTAATTGGGTTAGTTGTCAGCCTTTGTGATGTAGCAAGGAAATTTTCTCCTGTAAGCACAGAAATTCAGACTCGAGCAGTTTTTATACCGAATCTTTTCCCATCTTCACATTCAGAGTGCTTTAAACAAGGTTGTTTTCTGCCATGTGGATCGTGCTGTGTTTGCTACGTTTTCATTCATGCTTGAACATACCTGCTTTCGAAATGGAACTAAATTCAACACAGCTCATGCTTATAAGAAAGTGACTGTTTTCAAAATGTCATCTCCTGGCACAGCTGAGCTGGCAGTGTGTGCTTTGAGCCGGCAACGTGCGCTTGCAGCCCAGAAGGCCAACTGTGTCCTGGGCTGCACCCAGAGCAGCGTGGGCAGCAGGTCGAGGGAGGGGATTCTCTCCCTGTACTCCGCTCTCGTAAGGCCCCACCTGGAGTGCTGGGTCCAGTTCTGGAGCCCAAGGGCTGGAGCAACTCTGCTGTGAGGACAGGCTGAGAGAGTTGGGGCTGTTCAGCCTGGAAAAGAGAAGGCTCCGGGGAGATCTTATAGTGGCCTCCCAGTACCTGAAGGGGCTCCAGGAAGGCTGGGGAGGGACTTTGGACAAGGGCAGAGAGTGACAGAACAAGGGGTGATGGCTTGAAACTGGCAGAGGGGAGATGGAGCTGAGATGTGAGGAAGAAATTCTTGGCTGTGAGGGTGGTGAGCCAGTGTCCCAGGTTGCCCAGAGGAGCTGTGGCTGCTCCTCCCTGGGAGTGTTGAAGGCCAGGCTGGATGAGGCTTTGGGCAACCTGGTCTAGGGGAAGGTGTCCCTGCTGCTGGCAGGGGGGTTGGAACTGGATGATCTTTAAGATCCCTTCCAACCCAAACCAGTCTGTGATTCTGTGAACTGCAGCAACATGGTCCTTGTTTGTGGACAGAGTCTGTCCTGTCTGTACTGTGACACTCTCCAGTTAACAGTGTTCCATTCCTAATGTTTCTGTACTTGAAAGGGATTTTTTGGGGGAAGGGCCAAGTTAAATTGTAAGGTATCTACTTAGAATAAAACACATAAAATTACTTGTTCCAGGCGGTCTTGGTCTGTCCAATACCATGTATGCACGTTTGGGAGAAATCACGTCTTTGGATGGATCTATCGCAGTTACTCTGGCAGCCCATCAAGCTATTGGGCTTAAGGTAATGCTCTTCTTTTATGTCAAGTAGTTCTACATAACTTGTGTAGAAAAGGTGGGGTGAAGTTGATTTAAAAGTGGAGTGTGAGTGTAACAAGTAAGAATGACCAGTGAGGAGGAAGTCAGGTGGAACATTCTGATGTCAGGTTGGTTGTTGGTGTTCCCAGCACCCTCTGCCAGTGGCTCAGTGTAAGACTCTCACACAACATAAAGACTGAATGTGGAGCACACAAGAAAATTATTAGTCCAGGAAACATTGAGATGTTATTTCCTAGAAAAAATACCTTAAATGATCCCAAATTTTCTTATTTGAGCAAACTTGATAAAAGTAGATAGAATATATATTGAAATAACAAAATATCAGCGGGGCTAAATGATGAGGAGGTGGGACAGCCATGCAGAGAACTCGGAAGGATGCAACTTCTGGCTGAATGAGACTGCGTATTGGGGGAGCTCGGAGAAGAAAACGTAGCCAAGAGCAACGTGCTACAGCAAGCACGTGAAATTTAACTCATTTTCTGTATAACACAGCAGTAGGGATCTGTCTTTTAGTGCATTTTGTGGTAGGTGGATGGTAGTAGTCTGAAGCTTGAAGTAGCAGGAAGTTCATTATAACAAGAAAAAATTCTTAATGGAATTGAGCAGACAATGCTAATTAAAAATGTGTGTTTATTCCTCACCTTAAAATTTGGCTGTCAGTAGAACAGGGCTGGTGAGCTGCACTGAGCAGCCTGAGGAGAAGTGTCCTGTAAGACACAGCTGCTGCCACTCTGCTGCTGTGGCCAATTTGGGCCAGTTGGGGTTAATCCTGATTGTGTTGAGTAACTGTATCTTCACTATTTCACCACTGATTATTTAGCTTTATCATGTAGTTTTGTATTTTGTTTGTAAGAAACGTGCTGTAAAAAAAAAAGAATTACATAAGTGCACTCTCACTAAAAGTAGTGAACTGCCTATGTAATGAAATAATTTGGAACCTCAGTAAATCATGTGTTCTGTTCTCTGATTAGGAGCTTTGAAAATTGCTGCTTTTTGGGTTTTTGAAATAAAATTACAGTGATAGTCATGAAGGTATGACAAACTGTAAAGTAAGGACCATCTCAGGGCCTTCCGGAGCCACAGGTTAGTCTTTACTTCAGCCCCAGTGCAGGGAATCCCCCCTAGCAGGCCGTCTGCACACTGGGCCATTTCCTGTGGGCATTGAACAACTGTGTGATGGTTATTTTAACGTATTTTAGTGTCTGATAGATAATAATGTCCCTTGTTTATTAAACTGTCTCTTGTTACACCATAAAATTGGCAAATTAAGCTTCCTGAACTTGGCAAAGCTTGACAGCTTAATTTCTTTTTACACTGGTTGATGCTGAAAGGTTTTCTTTTTTCCTGTTTCCTATTCTATTAATTCCTTATTCAGGGAATCCTCATTGCTGGCACTGATGAACAGAAAGCAAAGTACCTGCCTAGACTGGCATCTGGGGAGCACATTGCAGCTTTTTGTCTCACTGAACCTGGCAGGTACTGGTTTTGTAATCATAAAGGCTTCAGAAAGCACCAAAACACCTAAACATGATTTTTGTGTGATTTTCATTACAGTGCTTGGTTGGTTGGTAGAGTAAATCTTTATTATTTGGTGCCTATGGCTTCAGTATGTAGCTCAATTTTTTTTTATTTATTTTTTTTTAAATACACTTAATGTAATTCATCTTTTCCCAATGTGCTGCTTCTGGCAGTTTCCATGAAATCATTAACCCATCCCAGGATTTCACCCACTCCATTTCTGGCATTACTGAGCATGAATTGAACCTGAACTGACTTTGTGCTGTGTTAGAAACAATGTGCTGTGACTGTTCTAGGATGCTTTCGGTTCTTGTGCAAAATTATAAAAGCCTGCATTGAAGGAACTACCAAAAATAACAGGGAGAAACTTTGGTCTTTCCTTAGAGTTTAGAAAAGGCGTCTTTGTAGCAGCAACTTAATTTCAAAGATAAAGTTACATTTATTATGTCTATTCACTGACTATTGCTAATGTTGCAAATCCTGTTACTGCAGAGGAGGTAGTTTCCCTAAAAACACACAGGCAGATGGTTTCCTGCGGGATTGTAAAGGAAACTGATGGAAGGACTGAGACATTGAATGTTTGAAGTTGAACCTTCCTTTCCCACACAAAACTGTAATGTGAAACTGTCACTAGAGTGACATGCAAGGAGCATTGGATTTACTTGCTGTGATGTAGACACCTCCCAACCATCAAGTCATGGTTTTTATTCAGGAGTCCCGGGCTGGGTTCTGGCCCTTTAAAAGCTGTCCCACTTGCAGGTACCATTTGAACTAGCACAGATATAGTGACAAAGTGATCTCTGGAGCGGACCTGGAAGTGACACACAGGAAACAACAAGGGCTGTCCGTGTTCTGAAATTCTTCTAATGTCTTAATTTAGCCCAGTATTATTTAAAAAGATCACTGGTCTTAGTAACTTTAACTTCGGTCTCCTTAGAGACCTTAGTTCTAGTGCACAGAAGGAATCATTTTTGGAACTGAATTTTAGAAATCTAATCCTATTAAAATACCAGCCGAGATCTGGCTGTTCCGAGAACTTAACAACTGTCTTCAGCTGGGACCTGAAGTGAGCCCTTGTGGCATTGTAATGTGTGGAAGAGGAAACTTCTTTCAAGGGGGAGTTACGTGCTCCTCGTTACATGATGTCACGAGGTGGTGATTCAAGAGAGGGCATGAACTGAATCACAGCATGTAAATTTTTGATTGCTTTGTTGTAATTCTCTTGCTGATTTTGCTCCTGTACAATGTAGTTGATGTGCTCAAGTGCTCTTTGGTAGAGTCTGTCACCTACTTATTTTTCACTTCTGTTGAGCCTTTTTTCATCCAGGATATAAAGGCAGGGTATGAATTCTGGGGAACAACTCAGACATTTTAAACTTAATTGTGTTTTAGGATGACATCTGCATTGTACGTTGACATAACTCAAACAGGTTGCACACGTGGCGTCCTGAACGTTCTGGTCAGGTCCTAAGATTGGTAACGTGTGTGTTAATCAGCAGAAATGTCCCCTCAGGTCACTTAAGTAGAAGCAGATGTCTTTAGAGCTGTTGAATCTGGTAAGTTGCCTGCTAGTTAAGAACTAAAATGTATATACTACTGTTTAATACAACTGTAAACATTCCTTTTTAAACCATGGGAAGAAGGGAAAAGATGTAGTTTTGTTTTTTAAAGCATATTTATTTCTTGAAACATTAATAATTTGTTTGGCTTTTAGCGGCAGTGACGCTGCGTCCATCCAGACGAGAGCAACCCTCAGCGACGATGGGAAATACTTCCTCCTGAACGGCTCCAAGGTATCTGCTCACAGACTGGAACAGGACAGGCTTTTGTTAGGCTTTATAGAAACACCCGCGTCTTTTGCCGCACTGCAGTCAGTCGGTTTTGCTAAGCAAGAGGCTGGCTTGGCAGCTGCACCAGGATTTTGAGGTTTCCAAGCTCGTGAAGAATGGTCGTCTCAAAAAGACAACCCGTGTTGTTTTAGGGCCACAGAGAACAGCACAGCACGCTGTTCAGGGAGTAACCTTCACTGAACACTTGGTAAGAAACACTCAGGTTCCTTCTCTGTATCGCCAGCTCATAGTGTTCAGCTTCAGGAGGGTTAGTGAGTTAGTTACTGAGCCTCCTCTGAAAACCAAGTATTCCCCTCTTGTCATTCCTTCTTCATGCCAGATTTTGTAGGTATTTTTGAAAGAAAACTTGCCAGTGAATTGGAAATAGGGCTGCTGGGAACATTTCTGCCAAATGAAACAGAGGCAGAATAGTCCTGAAGAAATCATAGAATCATAGAATGGTTTGGGTTGGAAGGGACCTTAAAGCTCATCCAGTCCCAACCCCCCTGCCAGCAGCAGGGACACCTTCCACTAGACCAGGTTGCTCAAAGCCTCATCCAGCCTGGCCTTCAACACTTCCAGGGAGGAGCAGCCACAGCTACTCTGGGCAACCTGTTCCAGTGTCTCACCACCCTCACAGTGAAGAACTTCTTCCTAATATCTCATCTAAACCTCCCCTCTTTCAGCTTAAACCCATTTCCCCTTGTTCTGTCATTAACTGCCCTTATGAAAAGTCCTTCCCCAGCTTTCTTGTAGCCCCTTCCAGGTACTGGGAGGCCGCTATAAGATCTCCCCGGAGCCTTCTCTTCTCCAGGCTGAACAGCCCCAACTCTCTCAGCCTGTGTTCATAGGAGAGGTGCTCCAGCCCTCGCATCATCCTGGTGATGTAGAGATGTGGTGGATTCAGCAGTATCTGATACATTGCAGACTTGATCTGTAGTTGCACGTGTCTGTGATGTGGAGAGCCCCAGCCTGCGGAGAGGCCGCACACATGTGGCCTGACTCACAGAATTTCTTATCAGAGTTGAAATTATTTGGGGCAAAGTGGGTCTCCAATCTGTGTTACACTTGTTTCCCTCACATGCCGTAAGCAGCAGCATATACCAGCTTTTGTGAAAATGCAGCATGGATTTTCATTTAATTCAATCTATATTACCACCTGTTTTTATAGTTGCTCTAAACCTAATCATTCTGAGGTCAGCGTTCCTTGGAGATGCGTTCACAAGAGGCAAAACCAGTAGCAGAACATTCATTAGAATTTTAAAGGAGGAAGCAGCAACTTTTCCCTACTCTGTTCTTTGCTGGTCCATTACGAAACACTTCAGAACAGTGCTCACAGAGTCAGAGCAAACAGGTTTCTTATACATCTTTCCTCTCTCAAATAGGTCTGGATATCAAACGGTGGCCTTGCTGATATTTTCACGGTATTTGCTAGGACAGAGGTTGTTGACAAGGATGGACAATTGAAAGACAAAATTACGGCTTTCATCGTAGAGCGGGATTTTGGTGGAGTCACCCATGGGAAACCTGAGGATAAGTTGGGCATTCGAGGATCCAATAGTAAGAATCACTTAAAATTGCTAACAGAAATTGTTTTAGTAGTTTGATGTTTTAATTTGTTTAGATTATCAGAATTCAGAGGCAAATCACTGTCTGTTCCATATAACAGTATAAGCTCCGTGTTTCTTTACCCAGCTTTTCCTATGAGTCCTTCCTAACGCAGGGTCTAAAACAAGGAATCCGTGTTGTGGAAGTCTTTTCTGCACACATGAAGCTTCCAAAAATTACTCAGAAGATTGGGTAACCGTGTAGCTTTAATAAATAAATATTTCCACACAATAATTCAACAGCTGTTAACTCTGTGTTTCAGCCTGTGAAGTACATTTTGAAAACACAAAAGTGCCTATAGAGAATGTGATTGGAGAAGTAGGAGGGGGATTTAAGGTAAGCAGTCAAGAATTTAACTACTGATGATTTTTAAAAACCTGAAGGAGGCTTTTTTATTTCTCTCCCCCCCTGCCCCGGTGAAGGGCCGCCTCTGGCATTGGTCTCTCTTCATTGTGTCTTAGAAGTGACACCAGTGAAGGTGACGCTGGTCACTTTGCTGCTGTGACATTGCTCTGAGAGTCTGACAGGTGGGTTTGCAAAACTGTTTAAAGTGCTAAAGGGAACAGTTCTCTTCCGTGTAGTAAATGAATCAAAATATGATTTTTAGGGTTTCTTCTTCAGGTAGTTATCACAAATTAAAATGCAGGAGCAATGACTCCTTGCTACATTTCTTAACAGTCTTTGAACTGAGTCACCCATGTGTTTCTCTTGTTAAGAAACAGCAAGACTAGATTTCAGAATCTATTTTTGTACATTATTGATCTCTGTTTCATTACTGCACCTTTCATTCTTGCTCCCTTTTCTTGCATGTTGCTGAAAGGTATCTGAAGCAGGAAAGCATCCGCGGCAGGTCAGCTGCAGAGGGGACTTTTATGTAGGGCTGTTGGTACCCATGTTAAACAGCACTCTCTTTTTCTTCATGCTTGATAAACTTCAGCAGTGCTGTACAGATGGAGTGTTTGTCTAGGCGCAGAGAAGTACATTTTAATCTACATCTTACCTTAATGTGGTTTGATTAGAGGATTACTTCCAGGTCACTGGGTCATCAGTATCTGGAAACTGTTTCAGATATGAAATTGGATGTAGTAGGTCACTGTACAAGTCTGGTTTTGAAGCATTATTGCTGGGATGCTGAAGGCTGCACTGACCAGTTTGAGGGCAGGTGTCCCAGGAGTATCCAGTGACAAATGAAATCCAGGGAAGCACTAAAACGTGAAGCAAGGCAGCAGTAACCATCGTGGCCTAGGGAGAAGGTCTGTGCCTAAAACCCATTCATTTTCTTCACAGGTTGCCATGAACATCCTGAACAGTGGAAGATTCAGCATGGGCAGTGCATCTGCTGGGATGATTAAAAAACTGATCGGTGGGTGAACTGGGTGTGCGGGGATGCTGGATGCCAGGCACAGGGACCCAGATCTGTGTAAGGTTAATTCAGAATAGCAACGCGAGTCTCAATCACAACAACATCACTATATTGCCAGTCGTACCAGGCTCTGACTTCTTTAAAACACTAAAATATTTTTATTAAAAGCCTGTTTAAAGTCTTGTAACACTGAATTTTTTTCAGTTTTTATAGTGGAAAGTTATTGCCTCTGTTGAATTTTTTGAGGTAAAGTATTCTTACTGAGAGAATAATCTATAGACTATGGCTTTTAGAAGGTGTAATGTCCCTTAAAACTCCTAACTTTAATAATTGGCTCAAGGCTTGCGCACGGTAGTAAGTAATAAAATTGATTTCTGACAATAGTTACCCAAAATAGTAACAGAAATTCCTCTAAAATAATGAATCAGCTCTCAAACGTGCCTTCTCTTAAGAGCAGACACTCACACCTCAGATCCTTCTTGCAAAGCCTGTGTCCCTGTTCCCAGCCTTGGTGCACAGCGTCATTTGGAGGGTGTATTTCACGAGCTCCTGAAGCAGCGAGGGCTTTGCGGGGCGCGCGCTGCAGTGTCAGCAGGAGACCTGTCAGCAGGATGGTCTGTCACTGAGGGGGTTCTGCTCGTTTGACACGGATTTTGTTGTTTGTTTTCAATAGAAATGACAGCAGAGTACGCTTGTACCAGGAAACAATTCAATAAGAGACTGAGCGAGTTTGGATTAATTCAGGTAATGAAAACTCAAAACCCAGAATCTCTGTGCTTTGTGTTGGCCAAACTAAGTGCAAGGACATAGATTATGCTGGGGTTCTTTTAGCTGTACTGGTTGAAGGAAGTTGCTAGAGGTATTAAATTTGTGTAAACCCAGCACAGACTTCCGTACAGTGATCTTTGAAATGTCTAGAATGGTAAATGTAATGAATACAAATACATTTTTTTTCTGATTTCTCATAATTGTTTTGCAGTAGTAGTTTTTATTAATTAATATTTGATAATATGTTAAAAGATGTAAGAATTGCAGATGGGTGCTGAAGTTTCAGGCTTGGGGGTGGGATTTTTGCACCAGAATGACTGTATGATTCCTCACGTTACTATTTGACAGGAGAAGTTTTGTTTTATGGCTGTGAAAGCATATGTAATGGAGAGTATGGCTTACCTCACTGCAGGCATGATGGACAGGCCAGGCTTTCCAGACTGCTCCGTGGAGGCAGCCATGGTCAAGGTAACTCATTTCACTGAACCACTTGCCTGCAGCTTTGAGCTGATCCAGACTAATGAACGCCTCTTTGTCGGGCTGCAGCCCGGATTGCGGAGAGGCTCGGGTGTTGCATTTAGACATTCGATACAAAAACCTCCACTAGATGGACAAAAAATAGACATTGTTGTTTTCTTACTTCCCATGTGCTGTTGGTGACCTCAGAGTCAGGCTGTGTCACAACAGGAAATAAAACCTGCATACCCCAGGTTTGCAATATCCCAGTCCTCTCCAGTTCAGGTCTTACGCAGCCTTACGTGGTAGCACTGGGAAAAAGTTGTATTCCCAGCTGCAGGGCTGGCTGAGGTGCTTTTTTCCTGGCTTTAACTCGGAATTGGCTGCAGACTGTGTATGAGAAAGGGTCGGGCCCTCTCTGCTGGAGCGTCACTGTTGGGGCAGGGCTGGAGCGCAGGGCTGGGTGCTGCTGGCTGGCCAGCGCCCGCGGACAATGCACAGAACTTCAGTCCCTGTTGATGGTCCCTCACGCTGTGCTCAGCCCAGAACCCCTGTCCCCCCGAGCCTGGGCAGATGCGAAGAGCTCAGACCAGCTACGATGTTATTTCGGTTTGTGGCTCTGACTGTCCCAGGAGCGTTTCCTCCTGGAGATGTTACGTGGACTGCAAGGGAACGCTTTCAGTTTGACCAAAGTATCAAAAGTATAAACCCTGAGCTGCAATTTCAGGCAAGGCTGAAGCAGGACTGTGGTAACAGCAGTACAAAATGTCACACAGACAGAGTAACGGAGCGGTGTGTTCTGTATTTACCGCGATCCAACCTCTGTTCAACGGCAGGTGTTCAGCTCGGAAGGTGCGTGGGCTTGTGTCAGTGAAGGGCTGCAGATTCTCGGCGGCCTTGGCTACATGAAGGATTACCCCTATGAACGCTACCTGCGAGACACCAGGATACTGCTCATTTTTGAGGTGAGTTTCCATGCACTGGTTTTACCCTAAACTGATGAAATTCACACCCGCATCCTGTAAGCCTGAGCTTAAAGCTGAGTGCTCCTTTGAACAAACCTTCATTCGTGTCGTTGCAAAGTCTGTAAGAGAATGAGGCTGAAGAAGTGATTTTGCTTTCTTTGGAGATACCGAGAGTGCTTTTGTACAATAAAATATGATGCTTTTACTGACTGACCACGTGTGAGTTACAGTAGGAGCTTTGCCTCTGGAAAGAACCAACTGGGAATACATATACCTGGTGGTAAATACACAGTTCCCTGGTAGTGGCACTGGTGGTATATATACAGTTCCTTAAATGTTTACAAACTTTCTGGATACTTTTAACAAAATATCCAGCTGTTTTAAATACACTGTCATGTGAAAAACCAGTCCCGTTCATGGCCTTTACTGGAACAATCCAGAACTCATTTTTTTACTCCAAATGCTCTCAGTCTGATTTCTTTTTCATTGTGTTACATATCTATGGCCAATAATAAGAGGCTCAACTTCTCCACAGCTGAATGGATCAGGATTTATAGTTGAGATCAAGCGGAAGATAGCAAACATTTATAGATGGACAGAGTGATCTTTTAATACTAAAACAGTGGAACAGTAGAAGGGGAAGACAGGCAAACAGACCTGCTTGGAAAACTTTTGTTATTCTTGTAAACTTTATAGTTAACTAAAGAACCTGTCTTCAAAATTCTACTTATACTTAAAGACTAACACAGAATCCCAGAATCACAGACTGGTTTGGGTTGGAAGGGACCTTAAAGCTCATCCAGTCCCACACCCCTGCCATCAGCAGAGACACCTTCCACTAGACCAGGTTGCTCAAAGCCTCATCCAGCCTGGCCTTGAACACTTCCAGGGAGGAGCAGCCACAGCTTCTCTGGGCAACCTGGGACACTGTCTCACCACCCTCACAGCCAAGAATTTCTTCCTCACATCTCAGCTCCATCTCCCCTCTTCCAGTTTCAAGCCATTTCCCCTTGTTTTGTCATTAACTGCCCTTATAAAAAGTCCCTCCCCAGCTTTCTTGTAGGTGCTGGGAGTGCAGTGTCTGGCAGAAGTGTGTTTTCCTTACAAGTGGTGATCATCTTTTCTCTTACATAGAGCTCCCAAAAGAATTTTTATCTTACGAGTCCAAATGCATTTTAGAACGTCGCAAGGAAAAGCACAACACTTCAGTTATTTACACACTATGAGCAGTTTTAGGGAAAAAAATGTACAGCAAATATTGGTATATCCAGACTTGTGAAATACTAAGAATACTCTGTACTCACTAGTGGCTTCACTTTGTATTATGTTTCTTTACAGGGAACAAATGAAATTCTGCGAATGTATATTGCTTTGACGGGTATGCAGTACGCAGGCAAAATCTTAACTGACAAAATTAAGTATGTTCTTATTTATTGCTAATAGTTTTTAATTAACTAAACAGAATCTGATCACTGTTTATAGATAAGAGGGAGGCCTGTAGGGGGGAAAAATGCCATATTTCTGAATGTATTGTCTAAAAAGCAGTTCAATGTTACAGTCAGGTTTTTTTTTTTTTTCTCCTTTTGCATTGGATGGTTTATGTATTTAGGAATCTTGGACTTACTTATTTTTCCTTATCTTATAATTCCAGCTTGTGTAAAATCCTTTCTTAAAAGATCAGTACTTCAAATTTTGAAACTTGAGATTTTTATAACAAAGTTTAATTGGGAAGCCAGCAGTATTGTACACGCTGAGTACGTGTCCAGGTCTCTGTCATTCATTGTACTTCTGAGAGGAACTGACCATGAACTGTGTTCTGTGCTTTTAAGGCTGTGGAACTTCTCCAGAGTTCATAGTAAAATGGACCAAAAGACACACTGCAGGTGTAAAGCATTTAGAATTTCATCTGTTGTCTGAAACTTCCCTTGCAAACCAGGAAATGGCCTCTAACAGCTGCTGTTCACCCAACATTTTAGAGAGATCAAGAAAGGAAACGTAGGCGTGGCGCTGGGCGAGTTTCTGAACAAGTTACGGGACACGATGGGCAGAAAAGTGGATTTGGGGGTAGTCGGTGACCATGGAGTGGTGCATCCCAGCCTCCAGGTAAGGGGAAGGGGGGACACTGCTCTTTATCAGCCCCAGACCCTGGGCTTTCCTGTTGGATTCCCCTCACTGCTCATCACAACTGGGCGGCCAGTTCCTGCAGAATCAAGCGTGTGCTTAGGGGCAGCCAGATTGCAAATTGCAGCAGATGTTTAGAGCATTCCAGGGTAAGGCCCTGGTTACCGATGTTACACGGGTACCCATCAAGGTAATATGAACACTGCTCTAAGTCTGTAGTTACACCAAATGCGGGTTTATATCTGCTTTAGTAATTCATATAAATTGTGCCTTCGCAGGGTTAAAGTCTCTGTTTGCAACAGTCTGTTGCTGCCCTTCGTCATGAGCTCAGATACAAAACACAGTATTTCTTCCTGTTTAATAGTAACACAGTTTGAGGTGAGAATTTCTGTGAACTGTATCTGCACACTTGCCAAGAATCAGCATCATTTATGAGTTGTGTTCATGAATTAATGAAAGCCAAATATGACACTGGAAATTTTCTTCCTACTGTCAGACTCTGAGACACAGGACTAACAGATAATCTTGATTTTCAGGGTTTTAATAACCTGCAGCACTTCCAACAAGAATCGGGCTTGCTGTGCAGAACTAAACAGTGTATAGGAATTTTTCAGACTATTGCTTAAGCACAAAGACTTACACTGAAAATGACTTTTAGTAAAATTTAAAATATTTCAGTGCATACGTTATTGAGAAAGAATAGTGCCTGTCTGGCTTTCAGCAGCAAAGAAGATGAATGTTAAAAAACCTGTGCTTGCCAAGAGAAAATCTAGTGTTGGTTGGGCTTCAGGATACCAGGATTCTCCTGCATCTAAACAGGGAGGGTTTTTCCCCTCGGAAAAGAATCAACATTTTATAATGCCGTTCCTTTTAAGTAAATAGGATAACTAAGTAAATAAGTAAATTCTTGGCTTTAGGACTTCTGGTCAGTGGCCAGACATTGATAATAAACACTGCATTTAGCAGAAAATCAAATGGCCATTTTGTTTAGAGAGGGGAAAGTTGATGGTGGGACACGCATCCCAGGGCTTACATCCCTGTGTTTGTCAATCGCATTGCCTGTTGGCGGTTCCACTAGTGTATGTGCCCTGTTCCTTCATCTTGAGCACTCACAGTTGATTCCAGACCCGGTAACAGGGTTGTGCCACATTTGTGTCTTGGCTGATTAAAAAAGGAAAACTAGTTTTGTGCTGTAGTTGGGAATTGGAACTTGTGTCTTGGCTGCTGAGCCCAGCAGCGCTCCTGGCCGCCCGCAGCCCGAGCGGAGCCGGGACAGCGCTGCAGCGCAGCTCTTTCCCCTGCAGCAGGAAGCGCTGCCCAGTTTGTTGGCGGGGCAGCCCAGGAGCAGCTCGCACTTCCCACAGGCGGGGCTCTGCTTTTTGCCCTCAGAAGCCTACTCAAAGTATTGTATTTTCTGTTTCATTTCATAGGAAAGTGGCAAGAAACTTGAAGAAAACGTTTACTATTTTGGCACTACAGTGAGAGGGCTGCTGAGCAGGTTTGGCAAGGTAACGATTATTTTTTCTGTTGAATTTGTTATTGAGTAGTTTGTCCTCAACCAAACTGACCTCACTGGAATGGAGAGGGGGCTGCGTGTATGGCAGGAGCCAGGACTCCCCTTACACAACACCTTTCGATTGATTATGAGAAAATACACTGACATTCTGCGCTCCGTGTAATGGGCAACTTTGGTTAAAAAAAAAACAAACCAAAACCAAACAAATCGACCACCACCAACAAAAATCCCAGCAGTCTCTGTGAATTAGCTGTTTTCTTCTACCTCTGCCAGCCCAAATCCTGCCTGCTCCAGTGCCTATTTTCAGTACTTCGCTGTGAGCAATCACTGGAACCATTTCCCTGTTCCCAAGTGAAGAGCTCTACCAGCAGGTTTTGGATTCGGGCTGCACATCCATGTGGTGCAGCAACCAAATCTGTAATTACACCATGCAAAAAGTGGTGTAGTTAAAGCAGGAGAGACTGAACGTGGAATACCCTGGCTTTTCCGTTTTCTGGCAGTTAATCTGATGTGTTCTGAGAATGCACATCAGACTATGCCCCAGCACGGTCCACCTTAATTAACAAACTTGGTACTGTAATTTCAGTGATTTTGGTGTTTACCAACGGGGTTTCCAGACACAGCAATTTTACTGTTGGCTGCAGCCAGACAGACTGTTAAAAGGTGGAACACAGTTAATCCAAAACTTAGTAGTTTAAACAGAGTTAATCCAAAACTGTTCAAAGGCAGAGCAGTTAATCCAAAGCTTTCTGCTTTAGGGTGGAAACTTACCTGTCTGTGCTACCTAAGTATGAACCTAAATACAAAGTGTGAAAAAAATGTTTGGTTAAAGTGCTAAATCGACGAACTACAAGCTAATGAAATGTTTTACTCTTCTAGACAATCGTGGATGAGCAGCTGGTTCTGAAGAGAGTGGCAGATGTAGTTATTAATTTATATGCGATGACAGCAGCCATCTCCAGAGCGAGCCGGTCTATCAGCATCGGTCTGAGGAACCACGACCATGAAGTAAGTGCTGTTTAATACCTGTCCTACCCATCTGATGGCTGCACTACTTGGATCCTGTAGCCCAACAGCCAGTGCTGGTGGCCACACTGCCTCACTGCCTGGTTTGTATTAAGGAGGCACCATCCTGCCTCAGGCTCTGCCTCGCCCAGTTACAGCCCGTCTGCTGTGACCAGCCCTTTCCCTTCAGCTCTGAAAGGTGCAGGAGCACAGTGCTGTCCCGGGAGAGTGCTCCACCAGCAGGCACCGCGTGTGCTGATGTCTCAGCCTTTGCAAAACCTCAGTGACAAGTAGATTTCATTACACCTCAAAGTGCACTCTGCATCGGTGAAGAATTCACATCCACTGCAGGAAACTCTCCCGTGAACCCGACAGCAGACCAGGACTGATGGGTGCCGGGTGCAGACCCCACACCCATCGCCTCTGCGTGCTCTGAGCGCACGAGCTGCACGCTCTCCAAGTATTTAAAATATCTGAACACACACATACACATTTATTAATTAATTACAAATTTGAATGTTCTCTTAAACCTGCTATACCATGCAGTTCTTCCCAAACTCTTTCCATTTTAATTAATAAACAGGAATATCTAATAACAATATTTTGGCAATACATTTATTCACGGTAAAGTGAGAGTCTGGCACAGAGGTGGTCGCGTAGCAGCTCATTTAAAGCTTCATGGTGACAGTTACACTACAGGCCAAGGAAATTTGCTGCAATTAAGGGTTAGACAACAACTGATTAACTTTTGTCTTCACTGGCTTGAGGCTTCATATTTTGTATGTGTAAGTCCCGTCTGGATTTATTACCAAAAACAGCCTCGGGGCAGTTGTGAGTGAAGGGCCGTCCCATCTGACACTCGGCAGCTGTGGGGAAGAAATAACGAAGCCTGCAGCAGCCCTGACAAACTTGTAGGGCTCCATCATCAAGAGACAAAACCAGACTTCCCGGAGTGGCAGTGACTGTATTTTTACTGCCTTGCTTTGTTTATGAAATTCATTCACTAGTTTTCAACTGAGTTTTACTATTTTCTCAGGTGCTTCTTACAAATATCTTCTGCTCCGAAGCATATTTCAAGAATAATTATGCCATGGCGCAATTACAGAAATGTAAGTTTGATAAAATAATTGTTCTACTCTTCTCACATTCACAGACTCGACTCAAAAGTAGGTGGTTTTGACGTGACCAGCAGAATAGTTTTGCTCTGCTTTTAATTCTGATGAGGAACAGAACTGGTGCCAGCTGAAAATAGAGAGGCTCTTGATTTTATAGATAAAAAAAAAACCTGCAGTGATGCTTTTTTTTTCCAGCTGTGGAGTGGAGTCTAAAATCTATCAGGAGCAAATACTCTTGTAGAGCCAATATTAGATCAGTTACAGGTGTTTGACCTGTTCGGTTAAGCACAGACCAAGTAGGATTTGTCCTGTGAAACTCAGTCTGCAATAATCATTCTTTTTCAGAAGATAAGTTAAATTATTTCCTGGCACTGAAGTGCAGACACTTGCATTAGAATGCACTAAAATCCTTGTAGAAAGCCAGGCATCAATGGTGCTTCAGTCACCTTCCCTTCTGTTTCTCCACAGATGCGGATGAAAATCTGGATGACTTTATCAAAAAAGCTGCAAAGCAGGTACTGGAAAAGAGATCCTACATCTGTTCTCATCCTCTGGACAGGACATTCTGACAGCAGAGACTGGTGAACGTAACTCAGTGACTAATCTTCTGCAGTTCAAGTATTTGACACCTTAAAAATAACTATTTCATGGGTTTATCAAATGTAATTACTGCAACTGTGTAAAATAACACTTTTAAACAAAACCTCTTCTAAAGAGGATAAATAAAGTCATTTTCTTTAAATCTCCAGTTACCTTATTGGATGTTTGTCTGTGTGTTTCCCTTGGAGCTAAATGCAAGACAGCTGAGGTTCGGACGGTGAGATGTGTTTTCCCAGGGAAGGAATTAGGTGTTTTTCTAAGTGTCTTTAAGCTTAAGTGAACATCTTGCCTTTAGAGAAGCACCAGAGGCCTTGCAGGATCAGAACACTTGACTTTGGAAGGGACCTGCGGGCGTCACCACGCTGCAGACAGTTGTCATTGCCTTCTCCAGGCCAGTCTGAGTGTCTCTAAGGACGGGGGTTTCACTGGCTCACTCAGCTCCCATTTAAAGGTTTTTTTCACTTGTATTTAATCAGAACTTCTCATTTTCTGTTCCTGGCATTGGTCTTAAGCCTCACACTGGCCCCTCTGCTTTGTTTTTCTTTTTTAGAACAACCAACAGTGGCTTTAATTTCAATATAAGTTGTCATCTCTGTTGGAAAACCTCACAGACAATAGATTATTTTCATCAGTATTATTCAGACAATGACAGTTCACACATTTTTGTCCCCTACCTTCTTGCTAACCCCCCAGCTTAAATTAGCTCCCTCTTACCTGTCCCTGTTTTATCCAGGGACACATTTAACAGTGTCCCCACACTTGCCTTTGGGAATTATTTGCTGGCCCGTGTTCCTGGGGAAGGCAGTTATTTGGGGTCCCAGGTGTACATGAGCAGTTGGCACCAACTGCTTGCTGTGTGCCCAGTTACCTGTTCCCAGTGTGACTGCTCCAGCCCGTCATTCCTGTGGGACGAGGATGGTGGTGTGTCCTCTTGCTCTTGCAGGTTTTTCTCTCTTGTGAACAAGTGAACGTTGATAGCAAAGTAACCTGGAATGCAAAAGGACTCGTAGATTGGTTAAGCCATGTCTCATTAGCTACAAACTCCTAATGAACAGAGTTGCCACTTTCCAATTAAAGGCATTTACTGAACAACACTGAACCTGTAACATAACTGACTGTAGTAGCCAGTGAGCTGACCACTGTTAGTGTTGGGACTATGTTACTTCGTTCTTGTTGCTCAACAGTTCTTAGAAGTGTGATTTGAATAAGGAATATTGATCACCAAGTGCTGTAGCATTTAAAGATTGGGGGGACTCTGGCAAAATTGGCTCAGTGTCCCAGAATCACAGAATGT